AAACTTGCGTTCTAAGCCGAAATTGTAGAATCGAAAAAGGCACTCTATACCGTACCTGCAAAAAAAAATTTCAATTAAATCACATGTGAAGATATTTTACGTAGACTGCAAAGATATGAAATGGGAAAAAACGAAAATCATAAACATAAAAACGACCTATAACCCGCTTCAGCATCCTCGATAGCTAGCTGCTTAAATTCCTGGTACATGCTTCGGTTAAAATGGTCCTGCAAGAAGAATGACAAAAAGCGGAAATAAGTGTTCATCTCGGTGGTACCATATCCAACATGTTTGCGCTGCCCCAAGCATGCTTCCCGCCATTTCGTGTACACCTGCAATCGCCGTGAACAGAAAATTCTTTAACAGGGCATTTCCCAACAGCAACTGCAAAAACACATTCCTAATTTCTTGACAATCGATAACGAATGTCTACTAGTAACACATGATACAAGTATAAATTAAAATCCTGCTTTTGGAAAAACTGATCAGTTCACTCCTCGAGCTAAAACTCGAAACAATCAGGACGTACGGTGGTATGTAACACTGCTTCTGGGATGAAGCCGATGCCTCCTTCCCAGCAGCAGGCAAAACAAACTAAAGTTCGTTTCAGTACTTAACCATTATAGACCCAACTCCGTCGTCGGAATATGTCATCAAAATAATTCTAAAGTAATCCTCGCAAAGGACGCCAGCGACAATTTTAGAGGAAATGTGCATGTACTACCTAGTCTTTAGTCTTTCAAAAAATATGAGATCTGACGATCCTGGCATGATTTTGATAATGCATTTTCTGGAAATACAACGAGAGTGACAATTATTTCTTCGATACCCAAAAGGAATCTACCAAATTTTTTAGCAAAATCAGAAGTGTTTCTAATGAAAGCAAAAAATAACTACAAATAGTCCCAAAAAGTTCTTTATAATGACTTTCCCACATTCAAAAAAAAACTTACTTGTTCCTCGAAGCCATTCTCTTGCATTAACTTATGAGCAACGTGATACGGAGGACCAGAAATTGTGCGAGCGCTCGTTGATTCGACCGAATCACTGAAATCTTGTCTCACATATAATACATTCACATAATCGCGTCATTTTCGACGGACTACGTTTAGCACCGCACTTACGCATTGGTAGAAGATGTGCGTGATCGAGTCCCGAACACCCAACCAACGGGTTCTTCAATCGGCGGATTATCACTGTGACTTGTTTTCTGCTTTTTCGAAGAACTCGGTCCACTGCTCACCTTTACCGGATAAAAGTGTAACTGAGTTTTTTTATCCCGTTCGGGCTCCGCCGACTTTGACTGTGAGCCTTTTGACTGAAAATTACCAGTGAAGTAAAATGTACCTGCACAGGAGGTAAGCAATCAAGAACAAAAGGAACAAATAGGAAATAAGCGTAAACTGACAAATGTGAGGCACCAAAAAAATCTGCTAAAGCGCATGCACGAATGTCTAAAACCTCCCCGAATCTGAAAACGAAGTGCAGTCAGCAGGGAAAGGAGCAGGAAGAGCTAAGTGAGAGAATGACTATCGCAAGAGCAGGTCCTTAAATCAGATATACGGATACAGTGCACGAAATGTTTACTGATGACTGAGCGTTCGCTGCTGCGGCTCGTTCACGAGCCTTCTGCGT